CGATGCTTTTATCGCTTTCGTCGGCGCTCATGGTACTGGTTAAATTGTATGTACGTATGTGTCACCGTTGTCCGTTACTTGTGATCGCACCACTATAACGGTTAGCGGTTGTTTGCTGGCGTGGTACCTAATCGTAACTGGCACTGTACCAAGAATTTTGGAGGTGATCTGAATGTCACGACTATCTCCAAAATTTGTACCACAAATTCTGGTGGTACCCTTTAGGCTGCCCGCTTCGACGCTGGACTCACTATCTCCGTGCTCTTTCGGGGTCACCAGTGTGAAAATAAAAAACCCAGTTTACTACCCTAAAATTCACTTTTCTAGTTTATTATCCAGAATATATATTTAAGCAATAAGTAAGCTAAATTTATAATTAAACTTTAGATTAAACGCGAATTCTTGAATATCCTTCTGGTTTGAAGCAAATGAGCTGCTTGAAAAAGTAAATTGTTCACGTATATATATGCATACTCTTGTGTAGACGCTGCTGCTAAATCGTTGAGTGCACTCGTTAGTTTTTGTTTTTCTTTATTTGCTATTTCGTAGTTGGGGTTGCCATCAACCCATGCGTTCAACACAGTTGCCACAGTAACAAATAAGTCTGGGCGGCCATAATGCCTAACATATGACATAGCATCTTGAGCATATTCGTGCATGTGGCGCGGGCTTCCTATGTAAATGGCTGGCAAAATTGTCATTCTTCCCAGATTATTCACAATGCCATCAGCATTTATAGCATCGCGGAGATGAATGTATTCCTCTCATCGAAGCTGTCGTTAGTTCAAACGGATGTATGTCAATCATTCAGTCTCAATTTTGACAGACATACATGTCAACTGCAAAATGATGGAAAAGCCGTCGACACATCAAAATATGATTTACTTCACCTTCACGGATCATGAGTCTGTATGAATAGAAATTCATAGTACTAACTTTTTTTTTGGTTTCAGTACCTGTTACTTGATCAACCATTTTTATATTTTTTTTTATACTTTTCCCCCTGCCAGAAGATCAAAAGATATTGTAACGCATCATAAGTCCTGTGTGCTTCAGATACACGTTTCAAATCATTATTCCGACGATAAAGCACAATATATCTAGAATGTAAATATTCTCCGACAATTACAACAGTCACTTCGTTAATGGTGAGCGAATTAAACCTCCTTGTGTATTCACCGGCAGGTGTTTTGTCAGCTCGAATTACAATATTATGGCTGTCGGGTGGCATCCGATCCAATGCTATTTTGAACATGTTTACTAAATTGTTGTTCTGATGAAGAAATATTTGTAATTCTTGGACAATGGTTCTCTTCACTGCTGGACTGTGAGCACAACGCTTATCAACTTCCGTATCTGAAGTGCCCATAAAATAAATTTGTAAAAATTGATGATCTGCATCTGGTAGTGGTAACTGTGGTCATTCCCCCAATTCCCTACAAGAACAGTGATAGTCATTTGATTGATCATGTGATACTCACTGGTGATGGAGACCTCAATCAAGTATCTCTATCAACTTTTTAAGAGCAATATGAAAAACGTGATGTAAACATTTTGTTGGTAAGATAAATGAGAATGTGTTAGTTTCCATCACACATTTCTTGTAGGGTTGTTACCGATTTGTCGGCACAATAATCTACTGCCCGCTCATAGTGGAATATAGCTCGTTCCAGGATCACAGCACCACTGCGTCTGCGGATTCTCTCAATTGCATTATGTCGTGCTCGCTGTTGTTGTGTTTGATGTGCATGAGCTCGTTGCATTCTAAGCCTATCTACTTCATTGTCACTCATGATGCAATAATACAAGGTGTTATCAGTTGGCAACTTCTCGCTCTAATTACGCCATATTGACTGCCTTAGCTGAAACAGTGTTACTTCTTTAACAATTCTTTGCCTAATATATAATATACTCTATCTCTTTAGCAGAAAAAAAGGCAATTACCATGAAATCCGTTCCCTGCTAATAATATGGTTGATTTTTTTTTTTTCTCAGTATACACATTGTGTTTTCTCAAAAAGGTATTATATCTTATTTTATTTCATTTAATTGCGAATATACTATAAAAAAGCAAATTTTGTTTAGAAGAAAATATGAAATTTTATATTTTTCCCCCAAATGGGGATTCATTTCTTCCCGTTTGTCTTCTTATTCTACTGAGCTAAGGCAGTGTCAAATCGAGCTGTCACAACTGATACCACCTTGTATTATTGCATCATGATTGTCACTCACTAAAGAACGCAATTCCGACATAGCAATACGACTATTTTCTCAATCTGTCTCTCTCTGGTCATCAGTACGGTTAGCACGTGAGGTAGCTCTTCGCACATTTGGTTGACTGCGACGACCTAAGTCAGGTCGTGCTCTCCTCGGCATCGTAAATAAAGTAAGAAAAGTTCTCGCGCACTTAGCGGTAAAGTGTCACTATCACAAAAGATAAAAAAAAAATAGAGCACGTAACTTGAAATATCACTATCACAAAGGATCACCGAAGTAAAGAAAGTTCTCGCGCACGTAGCGGTAACCGTCACTCACAAAGATAAAAGGATGCACTCTTTGTCATAAGAGGAATCGATCGACATAAAGGATCGATCTATTTGTCGGTTGTCAAATGTCAATGGTTGCGTTCATAAATTTAATATGTGGCAAAACTTAAGATTTTTCAATCTACATAAAAATAATCTGATAGATAGTAAACAACTGAAGTTAGCCAAAATTAAGTTTATTTTTTTACCTCCTGAGAATTAATATGTAGTTAAAAGATATAATTATTCTTTCAATTTGATTTCTGAACGACGGGGGCAACATCAAATGTTTGACAAAATAGGGATTACCCATGTTGCAAAAACACGATTATGGCGTCGATAATGACATCGATACAGAACATTGATACTCGATGTTTATCGAGCTCTAAACATCGATGTTAATTGAATCGGTGTTTTTTGCAAATTTCGCGTCGTCCTAACGGGAAGAAATTATTAAATTCGAGGAATAGATGTAACGATGTTTTAAATAATGCAAAATCAATTTTAAAACATCGATGTTTTATTGTCCAACATCGATGATCATCGAAAATCAATTATAATCGACCATCCCAATTTCTAAGGAAAAACAAAGTTGTTGTTTTTATTAAATTCCTAGCATTTTTATCATATTTACTCACCTTCTAAACCTTCCCTGGACTTCCACAAATAACTCAAGACCTAAATTAGCCAAATCGGTGTAGCCGTTCTCGAGTTTTAGCGAGACTAACGAACAGCAATTCATTTTTATATATATAGAGATAGATAACCTTTAATACGCAGAATTCTCCTTTCTATGTTGCAGGAGAAGAGTGGCAGAACTTCCTTCTGCGTAGGTGGCCTTCGGCCGCGTTAGGACTCTAACCCTTACTACGCAGAATACTCCTTTCTGTGTTGCAGAAGAAGAGTGGCAGAACTTCTTTCTGCGAGGCGGCTTTTGACCTCGCTTTGGGATCGTAACCCTTACTACGCGGAATTCTCCTTTCTGTGTTGTCCAAGCAGAGTGGCAGAACTTCTTTCTGCGTAGGCGTCATAACACTTACTACGCAGAATTCTCTTTTTTTTTTTTTTTTTTTTTTTTTTTTTTTTTTTTTTTTTTTTTTTTTTTTTTTTTTTTTTTTTNTTAAGCTGAATAGAAAGTGGCTCCAGCGCCAATTAGGCATTATTGAGGAATGCTGGCAGTTTCAATATCATGTACGTTTATAATTCTTGAATTTAAAATTAACAAATATTAAGGGAAAAAATTTAAAGAAATTTACAATAATTGTTTCATATAATTTTTACATACGTTTTTTACATAAGAAGCGCTTCTAAATTGTCTATTATATAACTCTTAAGATTTGTTTCAAAGCGAGACACCACATTAAATGACTTTAATGACGATGGCAATTTATTGTACTCACTGCTGCCCATATATTCAATACGCTGTTTTGTTGTTTCAAGCCTACATCTTGGCGTACTCAAATTTTGACTACTTCTTGTATTGAATACATTTTGGTTCTGTGAAAATGTTATAGTACGGTGCCCAATATTGTTCAGTGATTTATAAACATACATTAAAAGTTGATATTCATACAAGGCTCGTATTGACATTGGTGAATCACAATAGTTTTTATGCAGCGATAGCGTGGAATAAGTCCTTGGTTATTTAAACACTATTTTTAGGGCTGTATTTTGCATTCTTTGAAGAGTTTTGAGAACAGTT